AATAAGTCCCTTGAGCTTAAGTTGAATGGCATGTGCTCAAAGGTGGTGTTTATGGAGTGGGTGGAGGCTGTTGCTAGGTTGTCAGAGGCCCCCTTGGGGCTCCTCTGGCCAATGGGGACAGGGATGACTCTGCCCTACCGGGGGTTGGGGGAAGGGGCAGCAGCCCCCCAAACCTGGAGTTAGTGGTCTTTGTACATCAAAACGCAGCGCTAGGACTGGGAGATCCTGGGCAAGTCACTCCTCAACTTTCAAACTTCACTTGGGGGATGAAGCTGGGGGTTGTGGTAGGGAATAGGTGGTGGTGGGGAGACCCTCTGGGAGGGGCCTTAGAGGTTATCTGATCCAAAACTATCAGATGCAGTAAGAGAAGGGAAAGCCTTGATCAAAGTCTCTGAGGTTCAATCCAGGTTGGTCTACGTCCAAATTCAGGTTTTTATGACCTGCCCTCCCCCTGAAATGTCAGCCCTACCAAGACTGAGCTGGTGGGTTGATTTGTTAGGGGAGTGTAATCTCCTTGGTTCTGTCTCATCACAACTAAGATTTGAAGCGACGAACATAAAAGCCCTCGGCGCGTTACAGCTCTCAGTCTGTGTTATAGTTCTTGGACAGATCAGTTTTATTTAGAAAATAAAGGAAAATACATCCTCGAGGCGTGAGGGCACGTTGACCCAAAGGTTCGAAGAGGAGAGAGAGAGAGCATGTGCGTGGGAGAGAGAGAAAGACCCCGGGCCCTTTGCTCCTCTTTTTATGTGTTTTTTCTCCTTCCCTCTGGGCCTGCCCTATGTAAATTGGGCTGGCCAGGAGTGCTGTTTGTTCCACCTGAGGTCCTCACTCGTGTCCTGGGACCTTCCTTTGTTCTGTTTTCATGGGCTTTTCCCTCGTCTTTTAGCCACCACCGTTCTGGGCTCCTTTTTCCTGTTCTAACTACCTAACAGATTCATTCAGACTCGGCTCTGTGCCAGGCCCTGTGCTGGGCATCAGGTAATCAGAGCCAGACCTTGCCCCTGGAGAGCCCCAGCTGGTGGGAGCGTGTGGGGAGGCTCCTAGGGAGGAGGAGTTCTGCCCCAAATTAGGAAGGGGTCAGGAAGGCTCTGGGCTTCCCAGAGACTCAGCAGGAAAGAATCAGCTTGCAATGCAGGACTTGCAGGAGGCACAGGTTTAATCCCTGGGTTGGGAAGATACCCTGGAGGAGGGCATGGCAACCCACTTCTGTATTCTTGCCTGGAGAATCTCGTGGACATAGGAGCCTGGTGGGCCACAGTCCATAGGGTTGCAAAGAGTCAGACACAGACTGAAGTGACAGCATGCACGTAGGAAGGCTCTACAGAGGAAATGCATGAGCTGGGCCTTAAGCGCTGAATATGGGTTGCTCTGAGGACAGGTGGTAAACCAAGGCTGGAGGTGGAGGCTGGAAACCCTCTGCAGTGATGTGCGTGCTAAGTCGCTTCAGTCGTGTCTGCCTCTTTGTGACCTTAAGGACCGTAGCCCACCAGGCTCATCTGTCCATGGGATTCTCCAAGCAAGAGTACTGGAGTGAACTGCCATGCCCTCCTCCAGGGGATCTGCAGTGATAGGGACCTGCACATGCCAGCGGGGGTGGTGGGAGGGAGTGGGATGTAGGTCTGGGGACAAATTTGGGAAGAACCTTGATCCATGAGAACAAAGAGCTTGGCTGTTGCTGCTTGGACTCTACAGGAGTCTTGGAGAAATTGAGATGTATGGGGAGCAGGGTAAGTTCAGGTGACCAGTGGTCAGTTCAGTTCTGTTGTCTCTGTCATGTCCGACTCTTTTCGACCCCATGGACTGAAGCACGCCAGGCTTCCCTGTCCTTCACTAACTCCCAGAGCTTGCTCAAGCTCATGTCCATTGAATCAGTGATGCCATCCAACCATCGCATCCTCTGTCATCCCCTTCTCCTCCTACCTTCAATCTTTCCTAGCATCAGGGTCTTTTCCAGTGGGTCAGTTCTTCGCATCAGGTGGCCAAAGTATTGGAGTTTCAGCTTCAGCATCAATCCTTCTAATAAGTATTCAGGACTGATTTCCTTTAGGATTGACTGGTTTGATCTCCTGGCCAGTGGTAGCTCAGTTGGTTAAGAATCTGCCCGCAATGCGGGAGACCCTGGTTCAATTCCTGGGTTGGGGAAGATCCCCTGGAGAAAGGAAAGGCTACCACTCCAGTATTCTGGACTGGAGAATTCCATGGACAGTCCATGGGGTCACAATGAGTTGGACACTACCGAAACTTTCACTTCCCTTCACCAGTGGTACCCAAGACATCCCAGGGTGAACTGGGCCGTGTGGGTCCACAGCGCCACCTGGTGTTCATCTCCCTCACTGCAGCTTGACCTTAATGGGCTCTATCTAACTAGAGAAAAGGCAGAGAGAGGACTTTGGGCTCCCAGGCAAACTTGTAGATCACGACCAGTCTGGGAACCTCTGCCCCTTACCAAAACAGCCAGTCTTCATGGGCAAGCAGGCTCACATTCAGTGGTGTGACCTCTCAGGCCAGGGTCCCCATGTGAGCATAAGGAGACATGGGTCTCATGGTTCAACATGCCGGCCGGGGAAGGCATCCTCCTACACCATCATACACCCCCTCATCTCCTGGCACACACCTCTGATGAGCATCTTACTCTTTTCTTTTTTTAAAAAAAGTTATTTATTTGGCTCTTATGGGTCTTAGTTGAAGCACCCAGGGTCTTTAGCTGCAGCATGTGGGATTTAGTTCCCTGACCAGTGATGGAACCTGGGCCCCCTACACTGGGAACAAGCTTATTAGCCACTGGACCACCAGGAAAGTCCCGAGCATCTTACTGTTTCCTACTAGCTCCCTCAGGCTTTGGGGAAATTTGCTGGAATGACTTCCTCTTGGAATTTCCTCTGTCCAGCACCCCCACCCCCTCCTCCATGGTTCTCCTTCCACCTTGCTAGGGGCTTCAGATCTTCACTACATGTTGAGAGAACAAAGCTAGGTATGACACAGCATGTCTAACACGTGTACCATTGAATCAACAGAAACATCTTGCAAGGATGTTCACAAAACGTTAACATATCTTAGGATGATGTAATTTTAGATGACTTTTTTTTTCATCTTTATACTTTCATGGGTTGCTTACATCTTCTAAATATATGTTACCTTTATACTCACATGAAAGTGCTTAGTTGCTCAGTCGTGTCCAACTCTTTGTGACCCCATGGACTGGAGCCCGCCAGGTTCCTCTGTTCATGGGATTTCCCAGGCAAGAATACTGGACTGGGTAGCCATTCCCTTCTCCAGGGGATCTTCCTGACCCAGGGATCGAAACTGTGTCTCCTGCAACTCCTGCATTGCAGGCAGATTCTTTACCGTTTCAGCCACCAGGGAAGCTCATATAACCCCAACTTTTTTCCTTTTGGAAAAAACAAACTAAGAAATCCAAGCACATCCAAAGCTGGAATAGTACAGTGAAGGCTCACAGAGGCGGGCCATGTGGCTGACAGCAGCCCTCAGTCCTGGTAGCTCTTGCCTTTGCGTGTTTCATAGGGGCTGTTCCATTTTTCTTGACACTCTAAGCTCCCTGGGGCAGGGACCAAACCCGCCTCCAGGGCTTCTTCACAGCTCTGGGCACATGACAGAGGTCCAGTGTCCCTCATCTCTGGCCTGACAACTGAACTACCCTCCTCCCTGATTTTCTGCTGCTCCTCTTGCCGTCCGTCCACCCCAACTCCCCCACCCCCAGCTGTTCTCAACAGTGCAAACCAGTCACATCATTCTTCGACCTACTGGGCCAACCCACTCTCCAGCTTTGACATCTCCCACCACCCACTCTGCTCAAGTTCCAACTGCTCTAGTCCCCTTCAGTTCCTCCAACATTTTCTCACTTGCTGCTCCCTCTGCCTGAAATGCGCTTCTCTCAGATCTGCATTTTGTCATTTAGTTCTGATTTTTTTATTGTATTTTGAAATTAATTAAGCGTCTTAGTTGACACAGGTATGTAGGATCTAGTTCCGTGACCAGGGATGGAACCCGGCCCAGGGCAGTGAAAGCGCCAAATCCTAAGAACTAGACCAATCAGGTAACTCCCTTGACTAGGTTCTCCTCAAGGACTTCTGACCCTAAAAATGCCAGCTCTTGGGAAGCAAGTAGGTCAGCTAAAGCCACCTGCCCTCTGTGTCTTCTGGAAAGACAGAAACTCTTACTTTTTAAAAAAATGTTTTTAATTGAAGGGTAATTGCCTTACAGTATTGTGTTGGCTTCTGCCATACATCAACATGAATCAGCCATAGGTACACATGTCCCCTCCCTCTTGAACCTCCCTCCCGCCTCCTGCCCCTTCTTGCTTTATTTTTAAGCTAGCACATTGGAAAGAGGCAGTGCCTCAATGATGATGTCTCAGCTGGGTGGTGATGAGAACATGGCCTGGATTCAAGAGTTTGGCCACTCGCCACCTCTGCACCCACTTGCCCATCTGTAAAATGGGACCAGTGCTCACATCTCACATCCATTGTGAGGGGAATGGCCTGACTGAACTCGCAGACACCCACAGCCAAGCTGATGTGTCTGGTCATATCAGGGGTCATTCAGAAACCTGTCCATCCACCCCAACACTTATTCAGTGAGGTGATGGTAACAAGGTGGGGAGAGATCTCCGGGGGCACAAACCCAGCCTACAGCCAAACTGAAACCAGAAGTGGACACTTCTTGTGAGGTCGCTGTCCTCTGAGATCTCAGAAATTGGGCCCAGCAAACCAGGCTTCTGAGTCTTTCTCCACCCCCAACCACGAGGTGACCTTAGGCTAGTCAAATTCTCTCTGGGCCCTTTCTCCACCTTTATAGTCTGGTGGTGAAAGTCAGACATTCTTCTCTGCTCTCATCACTTTTCATCCACGCGGCATATAGCCAAGCATGGGCAGCATCTCCAGACTTAGCAAAGCTAAGCTCAGAGGCAGACAGACGGAGCAGCAGCTTGGAGCTGCTTCACGCTGGCTTCAGACTTAGACCCTCAAGCAGCACGCAAATGCAGCAGGCAGAAGTGAGTTTATTGCATTAGAAAAAACACCAAAGAAAACCAGCAAACACCTCCACACTAGACACAATTATTAGCTTGACTTCAAGGGCGGAAAGCAATCTCCAAGGTACAAGCTTTATTTCTGGGAGGGGGTGACAGTCTCATCCCCTCTCCTCCTCCCCTGCCCCTTTAGACCTGTGGACCTCAATGGAGGCGTCCCACTGTGATACAATCACACATGCCTCCTGTCTCATTCTGTTTGCCTGTGTGCTCCTGGGTGGAGATAGCTGATCACAATGAGCAGGCTCCTGAGGTTCTGGGATACAGAGAAATGTGAGGATGGGGTTGGGGGGTCCGAGTCTGAGCCTGGGCTTCCAGTTAGTGACGGTGGGACTGGGGTCGGGGAGGGAAGGTTTGCCTTCCTGCAGAGCTGAGAAGGCTTACTGCTCCCTCCTTGTCCTGGACAAGCCCTAAGGCACGGGCTTTGGCACAAATGGCTGTTGCACATGAAGGGCGGCTTTCCGTGAACCGAGGGACTCAAAGCCTCTCGGGGAGATGCTCAGGCTGACTTACTGGTACAGCCCTGGGTCTGAAGGTGACTACTAGAAGGAGAGAAATCAGCTGAGCCGGGATGTGGGGAAAGACAGGAAAGACAAGGAGCTTGTGAGGCCCACCATGCTCTGGCCAGAGCACAGTGCCCTGGGCAGAGGGGTCTGGAGCAGGAGCCTGGAAGAGAGGGCTGGGCAAGGTGAGCTAAAAAAAGGAGAACACCTGGCTAAGAAGCAGAGCTGTGGCCTCCACCAGCATGCTGCCCTCCTAGGAGGAACCCAGCCTGAAACACGTTCTCCACAGCCCAGTTCTGCCAGTTGGTCCACACTGAATAGCAGCCCTGCTAGTTTCTGCTCTGACATATCATTACCACACACACTGGCAAATCAGTGGGTCTTGAGAAGGACTAAAGTGCTCACTGGTTTAGCTTCCAATCTTAAAAGTTCCAAAATGTCACTTGATAGCACAGCTCATCATCCTGAACGTGCCCTGCTCAGGTCACAGGCAAACACTAAGGCAGAGGAACATCTTTTCCTCCAGTTGAGACCTAACAATGCCAGCTGCCATGATAATGGCAGAGATGGGAGATGAGTCCAGAGGTGAGCAGCAGCTCTTGGGAGAGGAAAGGCACCTGCTGCAGGCCAGACCCCAGGAAAGAGAACATAATTCAACTCTGAGAAGTGGCAAGAGCGACCCACAGAGGCCAGGGCTAGGACTCAGGCACCAGGGAGCTCTGAGTTCTCCATATTCATTCTCCCAACTTAAGGGAGGCTCACAGGAAGCAAGAGAATCTGAAAGCCTCTCCAGGTTAGAAACTTCCAGATTGTTCCCTGCCTAGAAGCTCCTGGCCAACAGCCCTTTATGAAAATGCCCACTCACGCCCTCCATCTTGCTTCCTTAAAGTCAGAAGGACACCAGAAATAACACTTGCCTTCAAAACACACTTAGGATACTATACAAATCCCTATCAGAAATAACTCTACATTTTCTTGCCACCTTGATTCTGTATTATTATGCTTTGTACATCAGGGATATCTTCCAAGAGCAGGGAATAATTTCCCCTTGGTCCCTAGTTGAATACTGCATATTGGTCTGGGTCGGGTGGGTACAGTGACTGTCAATAACCTACATTATTACTTGCAGACAAAAGGCCTGAGTCTCTGCTGCTCCAGACCTTCATTAACTGTGGCAGGTCAGCTACACGGAGGAAGAGCAGACCGCAGACAGCAAGGGAGGTTCTCCTAGAGCGATGTCAGAGGATTGGCCATCAGTCTAGGTGGAAGGAGGCATGGCTTTATCCGGTTTCCTCTGGACTGGCACTTGCTGTTACTCTCCCCGCATCCTGAGGCTTTTGGTTGCTCCAGTCCGGGCCCCCTGGCCTTGCTGGGGGAGGGGAGGGAAGGTGAGAGAGATCGTGGCTAAAGAGTTCACTTAGGTTGGGTGAGTTTCCCTGAAACTGTCCCCATGTGCACCAATCCTTTGGTTCATTTCATGGTGGCGAGTAACCACTTCCAGGTCACGGATAACATAAAACTCACCTGGGTCCCACAGCATGTGGCAAGTTGGGTGGAGTGTGGGCATTCTCTAGAAAGAGGTCCTGGGCTGGGGCTCCCCCAAACAGTGCCTCTGGCTTAAACAAAGCCCCTCCCTTTCTCCAGTGGGGAGGACGCTTAGGAAGCAGCGTCAAAAGTGAACTCACAGACAAGAGAGCCTTAATAAATTAGTATAATACTATTAGAAGGGATGGCATTTTGTTCTGTGTCTTAGCAGCTGTGTCCTACATGCAGCCTGGTGATTTCCTTCCCTGGGAAATTTAAAAAGCCGTCCCCTGGTTGTTAGCTCTGATGTAAAATTATAAAATAGAAATCTGGTAGGGTTTGTTTTGTTTAAAAAGGAAAAGCCCTGGTGAGGCAGGGCGGTCCCATGCAGTCCGGTTAGCTCTGGCCGTTGGGTCGGCCCACCGGGCTCCCTCCGGGAGGCTGGATCGCAATGGAGTCCAGGAAGGGCCTCAGGGCCTGTCCAAAGGGCCTGCGAAGAGAAGAGACACGGGCGCTGGGGTGGGCTCCCGGACGCAGACCAGCACGGCTGGCCACCACGCTCAGCTCTGCCTGCGTGTGCAGCAGGACTGCCACGCCAGGGAAGAGTTCTCTATTGCCTCATTTCATTTTCTCACTGAGCCCCCCCACATCCTTTTTCCCAGAGGGGATCTCTACACAGTCGCTCTGCATTTTCACTCCTGGGGTTCCCTCCTACCTAGTGGCAGTATGCTACCATCGTACTGCCTTCGCCTCTACATGCTGGTTAGCTGTGGGTTGAACAGGCTGGCCACATACAGGGAACCAGATTTTTCTGTGCTTCCTGCACTTGTATTTTCTCATGGCATAAGAAGATAAAGTTTTAAGTGAGGAAGCTGAGGTGAAAGAAAAAGGAAATGAAAAAGTCAGACGTGAAGATGGCACACAGTTGGATTTGGGGGGACTGGGGTCTTCTGGGGAGTATCGGCAGTATTCAGGGAAAACGACAGGTGCAGGTTGTTAGAAGGTGTCGATGCCACTGCCCAGTGTGCTCTGAGAGCAGCTTAGCTGGAAAAAAGACTGCAGATACTGTAGTCTCAGACACTCTCCAGGACTTCCCAGGTGGTCCAGTGGTTAAGACCCCCTGTTTCCAATGTGGGTTCGATCCCTGGTTGGGGAACTAAGATCCCACATGCTGTGTGGCACAGCCAAAAATAAAAAACAGAGACTTTCCAAGATTACTACAACTTTAAATTGGGTTGCCCGCAAAATATCTCAGTTATTGGCTTTTTTTTTTTCCTTCGGTGGCTACTGCCATTTTTGAAAACCACCCCTGAATTCAAAGGAAGTGAAATATTCTAAAGCATAAACAGAGGAAACCAAGAAATAGTAAGCCTAATTCAGACAAGTCCAGGAACTCCACGCATCAAATAATAACAGCGAGAACACTCCAGCTACTCAGGGCCCATAACCTAGATCCTGCCGCGGGGTTTAACACACCCACTAAGGAGTAGAAAGCAGGGCCAGGGAGGTGGGGCCCTCCTCGCTGGCCAGACACTGACAACAGCCTTGCTTCCCGAGGGGTTCTGACCCAGGTGTGAAGGACAGCTCGCCTTGCTGAGCCTGCTACACCTGTCAGATCTCTGCTGGACAGGTCCTCAGTTCAGAGGAACTGAGTCAGTCAGGAAAGGGGCCTGCTCCTGCAGGGGGCAGAGGCTGCCTGAGTGCAATGGGAGGGAGGGGTGAGGTGGCACTGAGGGTGCGTGTGTCCCCTGAAAGGACGCTGCCTGGGTGACGGCCCACAAAGCTCGGCCCACATCAGGGTGGGAGGGGCTCCAGAGTGCTTCTGAAGAAAACATTTACTGAGTGTTGTCTATGTGCTACGAGGTACGAGGCTGACTGGGAGGCTGTCTTTGAGGATGTCAAAGAGCTGAAGGTGCAAGGGAAGAAAGACTGACAGTTTCCAAACAAGTCCCCTGACTAATTCTCCAACTCACTCTCTGATCGTCCATCTAAACTGCCTTTTAACTGGGCACTTCTGGGGAGTGGCAAGCTTCATGTGCAATGGGAAAGACAGATGCCAGGATTCTGTACAAACACTGGGGCCGGCATCAAGTGGGTTTCTAAATTCTGCAGTTGCACGCAGGCCAGGGTAGAGTTGGTACAGGGTAGAGTAGGGGGGTGAAGGTAACACAGGTGAGCCTCCGAGAGTAGAAAGAATGGTGGCCTTCCATGGTAGAAGCTGCCATCATGACACCCCACCCAGCCTGGCAGGATTCTGCCGAGATTGGGGTGGGGGTTGGGGGGGGGGCGGTGATGGGGAAGGAGGCGGATGTGGGCCAGAGAAGAGACCTTGTTTGTGAGTGGGGATTTCAAAGGCAGAGGCAGAGACAGAGGCCACTTACGTGGATAGAATTTCAGAGGGAAGGTCAGTGATGTAAGAAGGGATCTTCCGCCCGGTTAGGAACTGTGCCACTTCGTTGCTGAAGGTGTTACAGTTGTTCTCAAAGATGTTGTAGGCCTCACTTCTATACATTTTGAGAAAGGTTTGGGACACAGATATAAAAGTCAGTAAGTGTGTACATGAAACCGAAATCAGGCAATGGGATGGTGAGCACAGCTGAATCTAAGGATGGGAAATGCCTCTCCTACACTCCCAAAGCAGAGCATGGTTTGTCACTCTGGGCACTTTAAGGGAAGAATGAAATAAAAACATATAAAACATATGGCTCCTCCATTTCAGGAGAATATTTGCATTCACAAAAGCCGAGCTCCAGGGTTAGAATTTTAACACTTGAAACTGACTCAAGCTTCAGTAAGAGAAAACCTGCTCCAGTGTATTTCATCCCAACCTCTTCACAAACCCTGTTTCTGATTTTCAGGACAAAATACTTGGTTGAGAGCAGCATGTGCTGAACTAGCAGCATCTGCTTTTAATCAGAAGGAATAAATAGCTCTTCCTTCTCTCAAAGTTTCAGCAGTAGGTGTGTTGGATGGAACAGTGGCCTTGGAGGCAGTGCTGAGCTCTTTTTGTGGAAAGTAACTCCTTTTTCATCCTACTTGTTCAGCAAATACTGGGCCAGACCTTGGGTTGAGTGCTCTGGGGGAAATGACCTGGTGGCTGCTGTCTGGGGGCCAATTATCTAGTGGGGGAGACAGATGTGACGACCCACCACCCCTGTTCTCCACTCACCGGAACAGAGACTCCCCCAGGGAGGACAGGTACTCCAGAAAGATTTCTTCTGTGACTTCTGTGCTCCCAACATCAACCACAGAATCTGGGGGCCCAAGCAAAGTCCTTCCCTACAAGAGCCAACCCAAAGAAAGCCAGTAAGTCACTCCCTCCGCTGAATTTTTTCCCCTGCCATGGAAGACCACAAATGCTCTGCTCCAACAACTTCTAACTTTCAGAGCACCTGGGGCAGAGGAAGACTTATTTCTTCTTTGTGTCAAGGCTACGACAGCTTAGAGGCTCCTGGAGACTGTCCGTGGCCGTGGGCTGACAGCATGGCTGAGAAGTCGGGTGTCTGGTTTCTGGTGGGGCCCTGGGAAGCTAAGTCTTCTGCAGGTTGGACTCCTGATACTGTCCACTCCTTCAGTGGATAGACGCAGAAATCCAGAATCTGCGGTCTCCCTTTGTTCCCAGCAGGCCTAGTCACGAGGGCCGAGTAGGATGGCAGGAAATGCCTCACACCTGGTGGCCATCTTTCCATGCCCATATTCATCATGAATGCAGCCAGCTTTTCATATGACACACCTGATACCCCCTGTAGCCCTGGGAAAATGTGAAGAACTGTGAGAAAGCTGGCAGATATTTCCAAGATTCAGTTCCTTTTTGATCTGTGAGGCTAATTTAACAAGGTGATAGGGTTCCCCTGGCAAGAGAGTTACTGGCCCCTGAAAGGCCTACCAAAACCCCTCAGCCATGGGTTAACAGACTGCCGCAGCAGATGCAAGGAGAGACTGAGGCCCTGGGGGAACCAGCTGTGAGGAAAGCAACAGGATCAGTGGGGAGGAGAGGGCTAGGAATGGGCTGGGGAGTGAGAGACTGCACTTCAGGGCAGCGCTCCTTGAAAAGATCATAAATTCACGCAATAGCTCTAGCACCCAACTGTGTGCCCGACAAGATTCTAGGGAAAAGCGTGGTGAGCAGATTACTGTAGTCAGAGGTGCAAGAAACCAAAAGGTCACTATTTGACCCACTAATCTTCACTCGTATAACAAATATGTTTTTGAGAACTTACTACATGCCAGGCCTCACGCAAGGCACTGGAGGTATGTGGACCAAACAGATAAGATTCTTGTCCACGTGGAGCTTACAGTCTAGCAGTAAAGGCAAACCAATGTATAATTATGAGCTGTGATAAGGGTCTTGTTGGAAAAAGTACAGAATGCCATTAATATATAAAACAGGGGACCTTCCCAGTCCAAAAGGTCAGAGACGACTTGTCTAAGAAAGTGACAGTGAGCTCACCTGGAGGATGGAGAGAGTTAGCCCAGTGAAGGATCAGGGAGGTAGACTGATGTCAGAGGATAGGTTTAAATGTCCAAGGTGTTCAAGGAATGAGAAGGGGGGGGGAGGGTGGGGAAAGGCACAACCTGCAAAGAGGCTATCTAGAGAGAGGGGCCAAGACCAGATCGGACGGGCCTCGGAGGCTATGCTGAGCTTTCTGGTTTTCATTCTGCGAGCAGTAGGGAGACTTTTGATTTAAGTAGGGGAATGCCATGATCAGAATTGGATTTTGAAAAAAACTGCTTTGCCATATGTACAGAGAACCAACTGAGAAGGAAGAGCAGATGCACTGCTGTGGTCCAGGCTAGAAATGAGGGTGACTGGGTTACGGTGAAGACTCTGGAGAAATGAGAAGAGATGAAGAGGGACAGACTGCTTTAAGATACAGTTATAAGGTGGAACTGACTTGGGATTAATGAAGGATTCGTTATAGGAGGTGGGGGGCCAGTAGAAGGAAGAAATAAAACATGACATCCCATTTATGAGTATCAAAATGAATGTTTTCTTGGTCTTTGCTTGAGTACCTCCTGGGACAACCCTTAGATAGCTCAGACAGAAATTTTCTGGAAAAGGACATGGGATTTGGAGTCAGAGGTACCTGAGTTTTAGTACTAGTGCTGCAACTGGCTGTGTAACTTTGGGCACCTCACTTTCTCTCTCAGAGCCCTCATCAGCTTCACATTGACTGAGTTCACACCAGGAGAGAGGTAGTGAGCTGGTGATGGTGGCAGAAGAGTGAGATGGTCTCAGCTTATAAGAAGCATACACGGGGCTCCCTGTGGACTCAGCAACGGCCCGTTTCACCATCACATGCCCAATGTGACAGAGGAACCACGAATGCCATGGGAGCAGAGAGGAGGGCAGCTGCCTGGCAGATCTGTGAGGGGTGTTCTTGAACTGAGTCTTGAGGTCATCATGAAGAACTACGCCACAGGGCTACCGACACCAGGCTAGACGCCAGAACTACGGAGGACAGCAAGGGACTATGGGAACCCCCGGGAACCTGGGACAGTGGACAGGATGGGGGCAGACACTCACTGGCGGACAGCTGGAGATACCACCACTGCCGAAGAAGAACTCATCCTTGTGCACGACTATGGAGGTGTGCCTGCAACACAGAGAAGAGGTAGAATGAGCCAGATGGCTTAAAACTGGTCTGAGGAAAAGCAAACACCACAGTGCTGTAAGAGTAATTTCTGCCTCAGGATATGAATTACAAGGTCAACAGCTTTATAATCCTAACCAAACAAAGATAAGATAAACATCATAGATCAGAGTTTCTCAGCATTGGCCCTAGTGACACTTGGGGCTGGCTAATCCTTTGTTGTGGGGGCTGGCCTGTTCATTCTAGAAGGTTTAGCAGTTTGTGGTCTGTTCACACTAGACAGCACTAGCATTCCTCACGCACTCTGTGGTGATAACCAGTGTCTGCAGACACCGCCAACATTCTCCTGGTGGCAGAAATGTCCCTTGTTGAGAACCATCACTGGATCATGTGAGTGGAGAGTCCTGAGAGTCACCCCAACATTAACAAATCAATACTGAAATAAAGCTAGGCAGACCAAGATGTTTCCAGACTTTTCATATGAGATCAGGTGTGTTCAGGGTGGTATGGCCATCGATTGTTCCCAGACTTTTCAAATTAACAGGAGTAGTTAACCTGGACCATGTTGAGGGAAAGAAAGACCAGATGGTATTCAGTGTGGACCTATTTCAAGTGAAGGTGCTCATATTGCTTCTTGGTTCCGGTCAAACAAAGCAATGGTCATCTGGTCAACCAAAATGTCAGGAGGCTCTAGGATCCAGTCAGAACTCTGACCTACAGTTTCCTCAGAAATGGAACAGAGCCCAGCCATCATCCAGTGTCTGACAGGGATGAGTCTGAGAGACCAACAAAGTTGTGTTTTAAGACCAACGTGGGGTCCTCATGACTCCTATAGTTAGAAAACTTGGGTCAGGGGTGGGCATATATCATTTTGCCTTTCCTTAGGACAGGGTTTTTTATCCTCTGTCTGGTGAAATATCTGCACCACTGATATTTTTAGCTGGATAATTCTTTGTTGTGGAGGGGTGTCCTGTGCATTGCAGGATGTTTACAGCAGCAACCCTGGCCTCCGCCCATCCACCTTAAATGTCTCAAGACACTGGCACCTTCTGGCTGGGAACCACTGTATTAGAACATGAAGATTTGTGGCTTAAGAGAGCTAACTTTCAAACTGGAAGCCACAGACTGGAACCTGAAATGCATGGATGCTGTTTGGTTTCATAAACTAGCCAACGTAAGGAGTCCTACCCAACTTACCAGATGCCTTCCAGTTGTTTCCCTGTGGAGAAAAAAAAAAGAGAGATTTAGCCCCTTGGGACTAGATTAACTTGGGACTTTTGCCTCCCAGCCAGAGCAAATTCAGATCATCAGAGGAACCCATTATAAACCTCTTGGGGGACCTCTGATAAGGTCCTTAGGTCATGACATGATATGTAGTGTTAAATAAGTTGAAAAATAATCAGAATCCTTAAGCAGAATTCAAGAAGAAACACTGGTATTGATATACTTTTTTTTTTTTTTTTTAACTTATTTGTGCCAAGTCTTAGTTGCAGCATGTGGGATCTAGTTCCCTGACCAGGGATAGAATTCGGGGCTGCTGCATTGGGAGTGCTGAGTCTTAGCCACTGACCACCAGGGAAGTCCCGATGTATGTCTGCTTTTCTTTCCCCTTTAGGGTCAGTTCAACTCTATCTTTTTAATTTCTGTCTCACCTACAGAGATAAAGTAAAACAAGAGTATAGAAAAGCTATTATCCACTTATTCATTGAGCATATGTGAGGTGAAATCCTCTAGAAAATAAGAATGAACTCTGAATATGCCATCCATTTGACCAGTCAATGCACATGTATTCTGTACCTCTATACCTCTATATGCCAGAAGTGATGAGAGATACAGAAATGCAAATATGAAATGCAAGTCCTGCCTTTAAGGAGCCCAAAGTCAAATGGAAAGAGAGACATATGTAACTAACTAACACACAATGCTGATAGGCTCCATAATAGAAGTAAACGTAATAAAGGTAGAAAATTACCTTCAGGGCTGCAGTTCAACCAGTGAACAAACAGGGAGAGGGGTGGACATTTCTGCCACAGGGAACAGCATATGCAGACACAGGGATGAGAAAGACTAAGGTCTTGCAGGGTACAGCAGAGGGTGCAGTGATGGCGGGAAGAGGACAAGCGGCAGGCAAGGGTGCGAGAGAGAGAGAGGAAACCTGCACTGAAGGCTGCCCCACGCTGCAGGGCATGGAAGGTTGTTAGGCAGCACAGTGCTCGACCAGATCCATGTTTTCAAATAATAACTACATCTTCTAAGAGAGAACTGTAGGAACAGAAGATGTACTGGAGGAAAGATGGCAGAGAGAGAATAGACTGAGGAGGTCTTTGCAGTAAGCCACGGGAGATGCAGGAGTGCCAAGAATAAAGAGGAAGGGCAGTGAAGGACATGAGAACATTATCAAACATCACTCATCCACCTTTGGTTATCATTTCAGGGTAACTGTTTACTGAGTGCTAAGTAAAGAGTGCTTATTGTTGCTTTCAATGCTTCGGTGTTTGCCCTGTGACTTTCTAAAGGACGAAACTCTAGGCCCTGTACAGAAGGGGAGCTGATATGATTACACTTTTCCCTTTGCATAAGCTGCACTATTTTGCCCCTTCAAGCAAACTTAAAACAGATAACCTTAGCCTAATTTTCTTTTTTTGGAAGAGACAAAAGAAACCATGGCTACTCCATGACAACCTATTGATGACTCAGCATAGTGTCATTAAAAGCAGTTAAGAATATGGCATAGGACCTTCCTGGCAGTCCAGTGGTTAAGACTTTGCCTTCTAATGCAGGAGGTGTGGGTTCAATCCCTGGTCAGGGAGCTAGGATCCCACAAAAACATAATGGGAAAATTCCCATAATGGGATAATCCCACAAAAAAAAAATGGGAACAATATTGTAACAAATTAAAGACTTTAAAAATAGTCCACATTAAAAAAAAAAAAAAAGAATATGGCATAAGTTCAGATCTGAACTATTCCCTTTGCTAGAGGTGGATCTTGGGCAAGTTTACTCAACCTGAGCTGCAGTTTCATCAATACAAATTTGTATTCAGTAATCAGTAATAATTATCTGATTTGTAATGATTATCAAATTTGTAATCAGTAATGATTATATGTGTAAAGCATCACAGTGTGTGGTACACACAATTCTGATTAATGGAGATACTGGATATAATAGTCTCCTTGAGGAAAAGGGTAAAAAATTTTAAAAAGATCAAAGAAATTCCACTTCAGGGTTGATAGGTAAGATCTAAGAACAGATTTCAGTGTCCATCAGATTAGTCTGAAATTCTGTATTACATGTAATCATTTCACCCTTTGTTGTTAGTGCTGTGAGGTTAAATGAAATAACAAAGGAAAATAAAATGTAGCAGAGTTCTTCTGCCTTTAGAGACCAGTCTGCTTTCCACTAGGAGACCGGCTGCTTTGACCACAAGGTCACAAATGGGACAGAGGGATTCTGGCCCAGGGTTTTGGGGACTGTGGGGCAGGCTCTGCCTTGATCCAAACTGAGCTGAAATTCCACAGAGGTGGATCAGAAACAAAAATGGATGCCAAAAGGAAGTGATAACCCATTTAGGACAGGCACTGAGCTGGATTCTTCATCTCTTCCAGCCAACTCTAGGAGACTCTAAAAGACCACACTCTTCCTTTTACAATGTGTAAAGTGGAGGCACTAACGTTGCCTTTTAAATTGAGTTGGTGTGCTTTTCTGGACTGACACGTAAAAAACAGCTTGATGTCTAAATGGCAGCAACCTGAAGTGTATTTCCTTGAAGACATGCAATGATGCATGAAACTGGACAGATAAGGGATCCTTCTTTCTCCTGGGTGATCCTGCTCTCATCTACTTTGGGAAGAACACTATGCTTACAAGACAGGAAGTACAGTGTAGTGAAGAAGAACACAGGTTCTGAGAATTCCCTGGCGGTCTGATGGTTAGGACTCTGCGCTTTTACTGCCCAGGGCCTGAGTTTGGTCCCTGGTTGGGGAACTAGGATCCTGCAAGCTGAATAGTAAGGCTAAAATTTTTTAAAAAGAAGAAGAAAAAAAGAGAACACAGATTCTAGTGTGGACAGGGCAGGTCTGAATCTTATCAGTTCAGTCAGTGAATCAATGTTTATTAAGTGACTATTATATTTCAGGTCATGTTCTTGGCATTAAGGATATGTCAGAATGCAAAGGAGACGAAAAGAAAAGGAAAAAAAAATTCCTTCAATGCATTCACAGAGTGGGGAGATAGGACAGTCAATAAATAATACTAATAAGCACAATAAATCACAGTAGGTTAACAATGATGATGATGTGGTCGCTCAGTCATGTCCGACTCTTTGCGACCCCACGGGCTGTAGCCTACCACGCTCCTCTGTCCATGGGATTTTCCAGGCAAGAGTACTGGAGTAGGTTGCCATTTCCTTCTCCAGAGGCTCTTCCCAACCCAGGGATTGAACCTGGGTCTCACGCATTATAGACAGACGCTTTACCATCCGAGCCAGCAGGGAAGTTAACAATCATGAGTGATAAAAATAAGAGCAGGGTAAGGGAGACTGGGCATTTCAGGGATGTCCAGGATGGGCCTATTTGAGAAGGTGACATTTGAGCAAAGGCCCGAAGGAGGCAAGGGAGGAAGCCACGCAGAGGCAGGACAAGCTAGGTGTATCTGAGCGACCTTCAGGAGGCCACTGTGGCTAGAGTGGGTGAGTGAGGACAAAAGTAGGAGGTGAGCAGAAGTAATGGAGAAGCAGGTCACTTAGATCAACTTGGAGAAGTTGAGAACTTAGTTCTAAGCCTGAGTTGTCCAGCATGGTAGTCACTGACCAAAAGTGGCTTTTAAAATCAAAAGAACAAATTCAGTACCGCGTTTCAGACACTCTCAACAGCCATGTGTGACTAGCAGTTAGCCATGGGACAGTGCAGATCTAGAATCTTTCCATCACTGCAGGAAGTTCTATTGGTTGGCACTGTGGGAACCTTGGTTTTCAATTCTGTTAGGGAACAAAAGGCATAGTAATAGTGTCCACCTCATAACACTTCCAAGGTTAAAAGAGATGACACATGAAAGAGCCCAGCACAGTGCCTGGCACATAATGTGTGCCCCACAAAAAGAATACCTCTTATTTCTTTTAGGCTTTACAGTTTGCAAGTTTTATGGCTGCTCTCACAGCGCCTTGGCATAAAAACTACCTACTCACAGGTCTTTCCCCCCCGTTAAGACTATAATGGTCTCAAGGATAAGGGCCACTGCTTATGCATCGTTGTGATTCTCGGGCTGAGCAAAGAGCCTGGACCAGAGACGTTACATGCACAGCTGTGGTGGCTGACACACGGCGCTAATGAGGCCAGAGTTCTTAACCTCAATCTTGGCTGCCCTGGCTTGTTATGCAAACGACTTCGCAATCCTGGCATATTGCACCCTGCTTCTGCCTTCTCAGATGCCCATGCTCAATGACCCAGGAGGACAGGTGTCAGGTGCAGATGCACTGGTTTAAACTCAGTCCTACTAAAATAATGGGTTTTTGGAGTGAGGCCTCAGAGACCTTCCTGCCACTTATTTTTACACCTGAAAAACAATGCAAAGTTGTGGGATACAAGTCCTACTTCATTCTCCTTGATATTCTCTGTACTGATCATTGAACTTATCCGTAAGCTGGATATTATGCATGCATGCGTGCGTGCCAAGTTGCTTCAGTCGTGTCTGACTCTTTATGATCCTATGGACTATAGCGTGCCAGGCTCCTCTGTCCATGGGCTTCTCCAGGCTAGAATACTGGGATGGGACTGCCATGCCCTCTTCCAGGTGATCTTTCCAACTGAGGGATCGAACTCACATCTCTTGCGGCTGCTGCATTGCAGGCAGATTCTGTGCTGCTGAGGCACCAGAGAAGCCCCAACCAGGACATTATACTTCCTCTTTATTCAACCACATCAAGGTATGCTTAAGATCTCATCCACCCATAGAATGGTGATAGAAATTATAGAAAAAAAGGATTCTTAGTTATCCTTCTGTCATTAATCAATCCATCTACCAAACACTTAGAACCAACAACTTAAAATGGATTGAGTGGATTCACATCCTTTCTTAAACTGCTTCATAGTTATCCTTATTCTCACATCTTTACATAGTAGAGTGGGACAAGTATTTATTAACATCATTTCAAACAGGTAAATAAAAATGCATGATTTGTCCAGTGTAAAGAGAAAAAAAAAAAAAGGGATATGACCATGCACT